AGAAGATCAGAGTGAAATGTATTAAACACCAAATATAATGGTATGAAGAATAAAAAGCTTCGTGGACACTATTTTCACTAACTTGGTGACGACATGGACTTCTATCAGGCTTTCAACTAGCTGTCCAGTAGTGTACTTAACGAAATCCAAAACCCTGCTAACAGCTGTCCAGGGCCAAGCACTGAACTCGAAATAGTACAAATCGAAGATTCTGTACTACATGCAGCGAGAAGAAAACTGCAGAATGTGTCAAGTGAAGAACGAGGCCGGTTGCGAAACGTTCTATACTCAACAATAGAAGGAATAAACTAACGATGTAATGATGGTCCACTGGTATTTATGCAAGCGAGCCGACTTACCCACAGCGAAGTAATGATGAAACACCAGTCGAATGTGATAGAAGAGACTAAGCAAGTGAAAAGAGTTTGGGACTTCCCAACACAAACAGAAAAAATATTGGCTCATCATCGGGACATCTTGTTGGTAGACATAGCGAAAAGGCGAGCACAGCTTACCAATGTAGCGTGCTCGACTGAAGGCAACATTATTTTTAAGGGGAGAGAAAGTGCGCTGAAATATCAAGAGCTGATAATGGAAATAAAAAATATCTGGACAGTAAAGGAAAAATCATTCCGGTGGTGATCGATGTTATCGGAGCAGAGAAAGGAGGCCGTCAGCACCTACAAAAATGCTCAACGAGGATGAACTGCAGAAAGCAACCGTGATAGGAACAACGCGGATTTTAAGAACCATGATGCACCTCCCTAACCCTTGATAGAGGGTTCGAGTTGAAGAAACGTTTATACCACTTATTATCATATTATCGCAGCCTTGCCTTTATACTGAAAACATTCACAATGCACAAAGGACAGCCTTACCAGAACCGCGGTCGTAATCATCCAAATAAACAACAGCACACCTAACCAGATTTAATTTGTGTTTTTAAATATTAATATTCGTGAACAGCTTTTGAAACCCAGTATCAAAACTCATTTTAAAACTTTTAGAAGAACACCTACTACATTGAAAGATATGACAGGTTTTTTTTTAAAAATGACTTTATGAAGAAAATCCATTACTTATCTCAGGAGAATATTCATGAGAGACCTCCACAAAGCTGATAATAACTAATCATATGACGAATATTTTTCCGTCTAAAATAAAAAAAGCTTATGCTGTTACTCTGACGCATGACCATGAACAAAATAATCGACATAACACGATAAACATTAGCGAAAATAGCTCTTTCAAAAATTTCCCACGATGTGACATGAACGAATTACCCCAAATAAATGTTTCATTAAGTTACGTCTATTTGAAAAAAATATTGTCCCACCGCCTAGGCATAATTGATATAACTTTCTCAGAACGAAACCGATCTAGAATATATTATTTTCTATTTAAACTCAAACTGTATGAAATAAAACGAGTCTGCATTCATTGACAGTGTAATCATATATGAACAGAGGAAGGCCAAGCTGAACTGATTTTGTACGTTTCTTCCTGCCTGTTGATTTTGCTTTTAGTCCGCTCCACGCTGATTGCTTTCACCATCCTATTTTTTCACCAGTTGGTTTTTGTGTGGACAATGCCGTTTATATTCATTGTATGACGGGCTTCTTTAGTATGCTGTGCTTCGCAATGACAGAATCCTTATTATCTGCTATTTGGAGACAGAAACCACATGTTCACTGAATTATTTTTTTATCTATGGCGTCTCCAACGCAAGGCATAATTTTTGTCGGCATGATGTTGGTGGCTTAATGGTATTTTTCGAAACGACATTTTATATCGGTTGTCCCCTTTTAAAATAACGAAACTCAATGCTTAATGCCTTTTAACTCGGCATTCCTGCAAATTTCTTTGCCAGTGACGCAGACTCTTTATAAATACTCGATATGGCGTTTATTATATCATATCTCCATAAGATATCAGCCCAAAGGTCGACGATGTCTTACCATCTAATAAACGGATATTTTGTACTGAGTCGAATCAAATAGTTTGCGAGTGTCTGATTTCGTTTCATATATGTTACATTAAGTTCAGCAGTCGATCGATGTTCTATTATTTCCACTAGTAATTAATTAATAAGAAAGGCTCAATTTAAAATCTCAGATTTAGCCAGTTTCAGCCATCGTCGCTCAGCGTAAACCAAGCATTCATGATAAATGGCTAGAAACAAACATTTCAGTGGTAATGATTCGCTGTTACATTCTGATTATCTGAAAGCATTTTCAGCCCAAAATTGACCTGGAGAGATTTACAGTACCTGACGGTTTTGACGTCGAACCGAAACTCGCTTTATGATGGCCGGTGTCGCACTATCCCTACATTGGATAGGTTTGGAAACAGCATTAAGACCAACGAGGTAACTGGTTATTATGTGTAGCATTTATTACACCATCACAATCGTTTTTCATTCTAGAACTGTTCCCATTTCGAGTGGTTGGTCAACGGCGTAGGACTGGAGTTCAACCATCTTTTCGGCTATGGCGTTTTGGACGCTACGGAAATGGTGCTTCTAGCAAAGGTGTGGAAGTCGGTCCCTCCGCGGTACCATTGCGACGCTGGAAGCATATTCGAACCTATGTGCGTATCATCTGTATGCTTGATTCATTTTTAAATTCAAGTCGCATTAAGTGAGAAAACAAATGCTTCACCTTGTTCACGGAGTCGTGTAGCTACACACGATAAACAGACACTAATCATGGGTTGTATTCTTTGCTCTTCGTTTTCTGCACAAGGAAGACCGCACTCTCTTAAGCATTTGTCTTAAAGACGTAGGTCCTTTATGAGTTGTCACTTTTCTTCAAAACACATACAGTGATCACAATAATTCTGAATGTCCCCTGGTCTGTCTGTTGTTGCGACAGAGTTAAGATATTTTTAAGATTTACATACCAGCAAGTGATTAACTGCAATGCATGAACTTCAGATTTTTGATGACATATAGGGACAATTAAACTTTGACTACCTTTCGCAGTACTTCGTATATGGTTCTTATGAGGATTTTTTGTTCTGAGGTCAAACTGAATAATAATAAATAGTCAAAGACCGAGAGGTTTTCCCATAGCTGCAGTGAACATACGATCCATCGGCAATTCCTGTCAAGAAGGAAAGGATCTACTCATTGATTCAATACGCATCGATTTAGATACACAAATTCACTTTCAGCTAAGAGAACAGGTACTTGGTAAAATCAATAAACAAAGTTCCAGCGCATCGATACTACTTGCATAATTTTGTTGAATAGAGCAGTGCTCTGCTTATTACCAGCGGTGACCCAGTAGTCAGTGCTGCTCATACATGTTATGAATTACAAAGCGTCAGAAATATGCAAAAAAAGTGTAATTATGTACAAATTATATAACAGTATTTGTATAAATTATGTAACGCAATCAGAGCATATTATATTCTAAAGGACGAAGTAGAAAATGTGACTTTGCATATGTATAAGAATTAAATTGCTGCTTAAGGCTGATACCTACAACGGGAAACTTGGTGATGGAAATTGACACTAAAGCATGCGCCGGAACCGACACCGCCGTGAACTACTTAGAACACGTTCAGGCAGTGGTCACTTTGAACAGCACGCGACGAGGAGACGTCACTCTGTTCCTCATCAGTCCAATGGGCACTCGTTCCATGATACTGAGTCGTAGACCAAAAGACGACGATCACAAAGATGGATTTACGAACTGGCCGTTTATGACAACTCATACCTGGGGCGAAAAGGCACAAGGCAAATGGAAATTGGTTGCTCGATTTCAGGTACTACTCGTTTGGACATGCTCTTAACTACATGAATTCATTTATGCAATATATGGTGCATTTCAAGCATGGAACCATTGTTGCATACGTGTACGACTATACAGACAGCACAAATAATTCATAAGCTAAAGGTTACAGCGTGAATTCAGTTTTAATTTGCAAATGACACTCGGGCATAGTAGCATGGCACATACTTCATCGTTTTAGAAAACGGACGCATTGCCAGAAGCGTGTTTTCTTTCTGCACACGTATGGACTGCTGTCTCAAAATTATCATCTAACCAAGGCATATGGTAACGCTACTCTCACTCTCCTACTCCAGGTTACATTACTAACGGTCTAATGCCTTACCGACTTTTTATAGTTGTGTTTTTGTTTCATCATCGTCATCTGAGGCTAATGGAGCTTAAACAGCGAAATAGCCCAGATCTATGAAGTTTGACCAATGGAAATTGTACTTTAGGCAGATGTTAAGCAACTTTGACTGATGCGGCAAAGGTTACATTCCTCTTCACAAGCAGGTCTGCCTCAACGAGATTTCTTAGCGTTTTGTATTGTCCTCCAACACGTCCTCGACCAGTGCACGGCTCCTGAGTGACGCAGGTTTTGAACAAATTTCCATTCTCTCTTTGGGCCGTTTTATCAAACCCAGGTAGGCGCCGATCTCACAGTTTATTTAATAGTTTTCCCAGTCCAGTGTTTTTCAGCGCCTGGTAGTTTGTAATTCCGTAATAGCATCGCAATTTGAGGATTACTAGTTCACAGCATTGTTGGAAGCTATCCAGACGAGACTCATACCGCTTTAGAACAACATGCGGTGCGAAACGACGCACAGACATCGTGAATAGCAATTATATACCTACAGCACATTCCTTATGTAACTGTCACTGACTTTGATTTTGCCAGAAACATCGATGAAAGAACCTTGCAGACGAAATAAGTTTAGCAAAAATGATTTCAAACATGACACGATTTGGTACGAACAAATAGCAAGGTATTGTGGTTTCATGCCACTGGTCGCGAAGCGATGAATTCATTACATTTATTAGGCGGCGACGAATCGCGCGGGACCGACAGGTTGTTGTCATTAGCGCATGAAGTTTTTTCTACCAGCTAGCAGGGTTGAAGGTGGCCTTGAAAATTTGGTACGAACAGCTTCCCCAATTCCGTTGGACCTTTTGTTATCTAACTTGACTTTTCTAGCATTTAACGGACTGACGTTTAACCGCATTTTCGCCGCTTTTTTTCAAAGAAGAGGTTAGCTTTCGATTCGACATGAGACTGTCATTACGCATTGTGACTTTCTTACGGAAAGAAATTATCGAGCTTCTTTAAGCCACTGCTTCCCTGCCAAAGCTATCTCCGTATATCTGGTCAACAACTAGGCCCACTGTCACACACACA